AGATAGATAGATAGATAGATAGATAGATAGATAGATAGATAGATAGATAGATAGAAACCTGAATGAAGTGATAGACAGTGTATTAAATGAACAGATATAAACGTCTTAAAAAGAACAATAAAAAACAAGACAAACAATTTTGAAGGGATATATTGAATCAACATTGTATAAAGAACAATAAATTACCTTAATAAATAATATTATATCATGTTTTTCTGTTTTTTTTAAAGAGGGGGGGGGGTCGTTTCTGTAACCGTTTTACGGCACTTGTAACACGGTTAGGTCATATTATAGATCTAGGTGCTGCAAGAGAGTAACAAACACAAAAGAAGAAGGAGAGATAAAGACAGAAAAGACAGACCAAACCACACCAGAGCACCCGCCAACTACCCACAAACATGAGTTCAATTCCCGTATTTGAAGCTGTTGTTGTTTTGGTTTTGTTTTTGTTTTTTCAATTGAGTACATGTATAATTTTGTATTTTTCAGCCCGGGATGTTGTATTCCTCTCTGCTACCAGATCTCGAGTTGATCCCCACATCCTGCCTCCTAAAAAGGTTTAAACTGTATCAATGGTGGCATAAAATAATCTACATCTATTTCAAATCCAAATGTGAGGCAGCGTGGTGGAATCAGGCTCTCGTCAATTTTTGAGTATGTAGAGTCATTGGTATCATCTTAAAGCTTGTTCACTTGTATTTATTTGAATGAAAAAAATATCCATTTATCTTGAATACAAGTCGGGATATTTGCGAAAAAAGGAGGTAGGGGTCAGCTGTTTTCAGAGGTAAAATTAGTGAGAAAATAACTGCAAAAGATAATTATTTAGTTAGCTTAAGAGTCCGTGGTAACTGAAAAAATTTACATTTGTGTGCCTTTAATCAACGCTTTTCAGAAAAATCCACATAGGAATGAGTTCTTTAAGCTTGAAAGGTGTTGAGCCAAAAAACAAAAATTTGATGAAAATTTACAAACCTGCGTATAAATGCAAGTTTCTTCACTTGGATTATTTTGACGAGAGCCTGATTCCACCACGCTGCCTCACAAATGTATGTTATGTTTTAGGTTCTTTTCAACAACTAAAAAAAAAAAGCCTTTTTTAACCCTAAAGGACTGAAAGCTGCAACTATGTGGACCAGCTTGAGAAAACCTGGAAAGTTCCTGCTTCAGGAATCCGGAGAGAACTTACCGGGACTTGAACCCAGAACCTATGGACTATGAGGCCAGTGTGTTAATTCTTTCACATCTTCTGTTTTCACTGACTCCCCCACCCCCTCATCCATTCCCTCCACCCCATCATCGTTATCCAGCGCTGGCTGGGTGCAAGAACCCTACAAGTGCCAATTTGCAAATTATCACTTGTAGGGTTCTTGCACCCAGCCAGCGAATTGTACATGCAGGTTAGAAATGTTAATTAAATTTTTAAAAATAAACGAAATAAAATGTTTAAAAAACAGCAAAAAATGGAACAAATGCGTAAGTTTTCATGGCCCAAAACAAGCCAAAAATTTATATAAAGAGACTCTGAAGCTGTCATTCTTCAATCAACAAATAGGTTCTAATAAGATACATTATAAAGACAAAGTATTATATACACTACAAAACACAAACATTTTTTACTTGATTTTTTTTTCAATTTGGGGAAAAAAAGGA